CAATGTGACTACAATTAAAATTGAAGCAGGGTTTTCATGTTATTTGAAAGCTGACCTTGTTAAATATGGGTTTAACAAGGGGTTTAAATATGGGTTTAGGGGGTCATTTGGAGAAATGTAAAAAGCACATTCAGAGATTTTGATTTTAAAAGTAATGACCGTTTTATTAAAATTATAAATTGAAAAATTGCCTTTTTCTTAAGCTTTTAAGTTCAGCTTGACATTCTAATCTATTTGTCTTTGTTTTTAGAGACAGAGTTTCATTCTTTAGCCTAGGTTGGTCTGCAGTGTCGTGATCCTGGCTCACTGCAGCCTTGACCTTCTGGATTCAACTGATTCTATCAGCCTCCTGGGTAGCTGGGACTATAGGTTGCATACCCCTAAGACCAGCTTTTTTTATTTTTTTTTTAGAGACAAGGCTTCACTATGTTGCCCGGGAGGGTCTCAAACACCTCGGTTCAAGCGATACCCCTGCCTTGGTCTCCCGAAGTGCTGGGATAATAGGCGTGAGCCATAGTGCCCAACCACTATTTATAAGTTTAGCAAATTTTAGCATTCACTTTTACAGGGCCTTTGAATAAAGTTTAGTTCCACTCCAAATATTAATTATTTTAGACATTTTATTTATTTATTTATTTATTTATTTATTTATTTATTTATTTATTTGAGTTGGAGTGTCACTCTGTCACCCAGACTGGAGTGCAGTGGCCGCTCCCGGCCACTGCAGCCTCGACCTGCTGGGCTCCCTCAGCCTTCCAGTAGCTGGAACTACAGGCGTGCGCTACCATGCCCAGCTAATTTTTTTTATTTATTGTAGAGATGAGGTCTTGCCAAGTTGCCCAGGTGGATCTCGAACCGGCGGGCTCAGGCAATCCACTCACCTCAGCCTCCCAAAGTGCAGGATTACAGGCTGAGCCACCGAGCCCGGCTATTTCAGACATTTTAAACCATAGTTATTAATGCAATGTTTTATTTTCCTTGTAAATATTGCAACTGTCTCCTTTAACAAATAAAACCTTTTCAACATTTTGATAAATCTAATTAAGTTTAAAAATATTTAAAAAGAAACAAGTTGTCATATAATCCATATCACTGTATATAACTGTCATGGCTAATTTTTGTTTCCCTGGAATTCCTATGTTAAAGTCCTAGCCTCCAATAACTCAGAATGTGAGTGAATTTGGAGATCGGGGCCTTTAATGGGTAATTACATTAAAATGAGATTATATGGATAACGTGACTGGTATCTTTATAAGAAGAGGTTAAGACACAAACGGGCACAGAAGAAAAACCATATGAGGAGAGAGAGAAGATGGTCATCTATGAGCCACAGAGAGAGGCCTCAGAATAAAACCAAACCTGCCAACACCTTGATCTTGGACTTCGGCCTCTAGAACTGTGAGAAAATTAATTTTTGTTGTTTAAGCCACCCAGCCTGTGGTACTTTGTCATGACGCCCCAGCAAACTATGACTTAATTAATACATGTAAGTGTATTTTCCATCTAGCTCTAAAGGCTAGAATTCTCTCATATTCTTAGAATCATTCTTTTTTTTTTTTTGAATTGGAGTCTCACTCTGTTGCCCAGACTGGAGTGCAGTGGCTGCTCCCAGCCATCGCAGCCTTGACCTGCTGGGCTCCGGCGATCCTTCCGCCTCAGTCTTCCGAGTAGCTGGAACTACAGGGGTGCGCTACCACGCCCGGCTCATTTTTTGATTTATTGTAGAGATGAGGTCTTGCTGCCCAGGCGGGTCTCAAACCCGTGGGCTCAGGCAATTCACTCACCTTAGCCTCCCAAAGGTGCGGGATTACAGGCTGAGCCACCGAGCCCGGTTCTTTTTTTTTTTTTGAGTTGGAGTTTCACTCTGTCACCCAGACTAGAGTGCAATGGCCACTCCCGGCCACCACAGCCTCGACCTGCTGGGCTCCGGTGATCCTTCTGCCTCAGTCTTCCAAGTAGCTGGAACTACAGGCGCGTGCTACCACACCCAGCTGATTTTTTGATTTATTGTAGAGATGAGGTCTCGCTGCCCAGGCGGGTCTCGAACCCCATGGGCTCAGGCAATCCACTCACCTCAGCCGCCCAAAGGCACGGGATTACAGGCTGAGCCACCGAGCCTGGCTAGAATCAATCTTAATGATATAAAAATAATATTGGATTAATTTTCATGGCTTTGTTTGACTAACTCTATCACTATTTCCAGGAGGATTCTACTGACAATTCTAAATTCATGTGGAAGAACAAAGGATCAATAATAGTCAGCACATATATGAAAATAATTGTACAGTTTTTCACCGTTTCAGATATCAAGACCTATTATAAGGGTATGGTAATTAAGATCCTGTATTGCTGGTAAAGATATAGACAAAGTAAAGAGATAGAACGCCCTGAAACAGACTTATAAATATGTAATAGAAGCACTCAAGATGAGTAAGAAAAGTATGTACTATTTAATGAATGGTTGGTCATCACTAGGAACTAGATAGCCATACAGGAAAATATTAAAAAATTACATCCCTAACTCCAAAAATAAAAATTAAAACTTCCAAGTAAAGTCCTAAATATAAAGAAAACAAAATTCTAAAACAAATAGCACAAACCATAAAGAAAGGCTGACAAATTTCACTACTTTAAACTTCTCTACAATAAAAGATATAAAGGGTAAAGAAAAGCCATGGACTAGAAAAAGACACATTCATTGCAAATAACCAGCAAGCCTAGTATTCTAATTATATAAATCTCCTAAAAATTAGTAAGAAGACAAACATCTACAAGGAAATGAGCAAAGAAGCAAATCACAAGAAGCAGAAATACAACGGGACAATCCACACACAGAGATGCCCAGTCTCCCTAGTAATCAGGGATGTGCAAATTAAAGCCACAGTGAAATTCCAACCATCAGATCTGAAAAATTTAAAAATATCTGACAACAGTAAGTATTGTGAAGTATATGGAGCAGAAAGAATCCTCATTCTGCTGGTGGGAGAGTCAATTGGTATAATCACTTTGAAGACCAATTTGGCAACATCTAGCAAAGCCCAAAGACATTCATCCCTATATTTCAAAAAATGTATTCCTATGTAAATGTCCTAGAGAAACTCCTTCACATGCATAAGAATATATGTATAAGAAAGTTGCAGCATTGTTTCTATTAGTAAAAGGATGGAAATAGTTGTTCATTATTGAGAAACTGGACATGTTCTTGTATGTAAGCTCTGACACGTTATTCAACAGTAAATATGAACTAGTTACATATATCAGCATGGATACTGACAAGGGGGAAAAGCAACTTTTAGAATACATACAAGATGTTACTTATATAAAGCTTTAAAACATGCATACAATAATACCTATTATGTATGGATATATAAACTTTTAGCAATGGAAAAAACAGGCTCAGGAATGATTAACTCCAAATTCAGGACAGTATCCTGAATTGAACAGATCTGGGAGAATACAGTTCTTTAAGTTTACTTGTATAATTTTATTTCTGTAAAAAACCAAATCAAACCAAAACAACAAAGTAGGAGATGACAAAAATGGCAAAACAGCAGAGACGGTGAACCCACAGGTATGCCTCATAAAATTCTCTGCATTTTAGGAATTAAATGTGTGTTATAACAGTTTAAATAGCAGAATAAAATTATTTTCAAGTTATCTGTCTCACAGTAGTTAGTTCCTTCTCTTTGGCTGTAATACAGTTGTTTACCCATTTATCAAATGTTTGTTTGGGCTAGCATTTAAAAAAAAACATAGCATCTTTTTCTCAAGTAGTGAGGAAGTTCTCCAACCAAAAAGTAGGATATAAAGCCATAATAAGGAAAAGATTACAAGATGCAAAGAAGAAGGAGAGTTTACATCTGCTTGGAGTCGTCAGAACCCACTTATCAGCTGCCTTCCAGGAAGACATGGTTACCAAGGGAACAAAGGCATTTCAAGCAAAGAGAACCGCCTGGACAAGAAAGTGGAGACACCTGCAGCAGGTAACACAGAGAACAGCTGTCTCTCAGTATCCGTGGGTGATTAGTTTCAGGACCCGGGCAAAAACCACAATCCACGGATGCTCAAGTCTCTGATATTAACTGGCTTAGAATTTGCATATAACCCACGCACATCCTCCTATAAACTTTGTCACCCCTAGACTACTTATAATACCTAATCTAATGTAACTGCTATGCAAATAGTTAATATTCGGTGTTGCTTAGGGAATAATAACCTCCCCCAAAAGTCTATACATGTTCAGTACAGACATAATTTGTCCCCAAAGATGTTCAATCCAGTTGGTGAACTCCACCGTCGCAGACCCGCAGGAACGAAGGGCCTGGGGTACCGCCGGGACGGGTAGGGTGGGGTGAGGGGTCGGAGGGAGAACAGCAAAACGGGAGAGGGCGGAGGAGCTGATATGACAGCCGCAACCTCTGGAATTGGCCCTGTACTTGCCCACCGAGCAAGGAACGGCGGCCCTGATCAGAGGTGAGGCAACTGTTCCCTGCCACACAACTCCTAAGAGACACGGGCGGAACCAGAACTCGCGTCTGCTGACTTCAGGGTGACCCAGCCCTGGCCGTGAACGGACGCCGGCTCCACCACGATAGCTCCGAACTACACCGAGACTTTATTTGCGGGACTGGCCGTAGCCCAGTCCTGCCGGCATTACCCATTTCCTCTCAGCTCCACGCAGCCCACTTCGCTCCCTGCCTCCCAGACGCCGACCTCCATTAAGATACCCAGGCCCTTTTAAAACCGAATACAAGTCCCAGAAGCCCGCCCGCACCAACTTTAGATCCCACAAGTCCCAGCAGGCGACCAAGCCCGTTAGAAAAGGCCGCCCACGGGCCACCAAGTGGACCATCATGCAACGCTCCCCGAAGGGGCGGGGCTTTCTCCAGGAGCGGAACCTCCTCGTGTCGCCTAGGCAACCCCAATTCCGGGCCAGAAGGCGCTTCCGCTTCCGCTCCCGAGCCCTATGAGTGAGAGCTACGCCTTTAGTCGCCGTGACGTCATTCCCCTGCGCCTGCGCGTCCAGAGCTTCCAAGCGGCGGCCTCTCTCGAGCGTAAAACGTTAGAGGGGATCCTTGTTGCCTGCGTCCTCCTGACCTGGGAGCACAGGGAAAAGCGGCGAGATGACGGACCGCTACACCATCCACAGCCAGCTGGAGCATCTGCAGTCCAAGTACATCGGCACGGGCCACGCCGATACCACCAAGTGGGAGTGGCTGGTGAACCAGCACCGCGACTCGTACTGCTCCTACATGGGCCACTTCGACCTGCTCAACTACTTCGCCATCGCGGAGAATGAGAGCAAGGCTCGAGTCCGTTTCAACTTGATGGAGAAGATGCTGCAGCCCTGCGGACCGCCCGCCGACAAGCCCGAGGAGAACTGAGACTCCGCCTAGCCACCGCCGTGCGGTAGCGCCTCTCCCAGCCTTCCTCCCATGTGCTGTCTCCGGAGTACTGCCACCAGTGGACCGATTCTCCCAGGCTCCGGCTTCTCGCGCTTTGCGAATACAGAAGTGCTTGCCCGAGGGTGTTCTGTCTGACTTGCCTTCTTGTGGCCCCTTTGAGGCACAGCTTTGGGACACCATTAGGACCCCTAAGAACTGTGCCGGCGAAGAGGTCCTAGAGCCAGCAAGCGTTAGGGATCGTCGACACTGGAGTGAGAAGGGACTTGGAGGCTCGTTTCTGGCTAATTGATTGTCGTTGTTGCTTTTTCCATAAAGTTTGTAAATCGTTCCGTCTTTTGGTGTGAATTGCTTGTGTTCAGGTGGAGGGGTCCAGGGAGGGCTCTGGGGACCAAGGTTTCGTGAGAATCCCAACGGGGGTGAGGGAGCGCTTTGCCAGTGTTCACTGCCAGGCACTTAAATCCGCCCTGCACACCTTTATCTTATTCCCGCACCCCCACTTCTCGAAAGAGCGTTGTTTTCAGGCCCACAATGCCTTCAGTATTGAGGTTTGTGATTATTGTATGCCACTTTTCTCTCCCATTTTAGAAAGGATTTGCTGTTATTATCTTCCCTCACCTCTCTGTAAATTGCATCTCCTCTTTCTCTCAGGAATGTGTGGCCATGTCTTCAGAAATGACAAGCCGGAAAAGGAGTTTCTTCATTCAACATTCACCAAATACTTGTTCAGCTGTATGTGGCAGACACTTTCCCAGGCTTTGGGGGCTGGCTTGCTGGTTAGGAAGAGGGAGGTATAACAAACTGCAGGCGCAGTAAGCAAATGTTAGAATATGCTGGGGGGAGGGAGTAGTAGCTGGTAGGGTTGCAATTTTAAATATGATGCTAATGTTAGTTGTTGAGGTGGTGACATTTGAGCAAAGACTTTAAGGAAGGGAGGGAAATAGCCATGGAGACAACGGAGAAAATTACTTTCGGTTAAGAGGTAACTGCCAGTGCAGTGGTGCTAACACTGAGAATGTGTTTGGCTTGTTGGAACTGCAAAGGGGCAAATATGGCTGGAGGGAGTGAGCGGAAGAGTAGAGGGACAGGTAATGGAGGGCGGGAACAGGAGAGTCGAGCCTTGTAGGCCGTTGTATGTACATCTGAGGAGCTATTGGAAGGTTTTTAAGCAGAAAAATGACATGATCTGGCATGTTTTAGATCAGTAACTCTCAAATGTGTTGGCCTTAGGAACCATTACACTCTCAAAAATTACTGAAGACCACTAGAGACTTTGTGTGGATTATAGCTGCTAATATTAACAGCAAAAATTAAAACAATTTAAAAATATTTAATCCAGCCGGGCTTGGTGGCTCAGCCTGTAATCCCGCGCCTTTGGGAGGCTGAGGTGAGTGGAATGCCTGAGCCCGCGGGTTCGAGACCCGCCTGGGCAGCAAGACCTCATCTCTACAACAAATCAAAAAATCAGCCGGGCATGGTAGTGCATGCCTGTAATTCCGGCTACTCGGAAGGCTGAGGCGGAAGGATCGCCGGACCC